TTTCAGTGATTGAGATAGCTAGTTTTTAGACATGGACTAAATTCAAATTCCAAACATTTGTATGCTTATACTCATGTCAAATAATGAGGTTTTGCAAAACTTTGCGGTGATTGGATAATGGGAATAAAAAAGCATTTGGTTTCATTCATCCTTACCCCAAACGTGAGGGGCAACAAGTTGATAAAAAAAACATTTGTGCTATTCTCAATTAGACTTATATTTATCAATAAATTTTAAGTTTTATAGTATTATCTCTCAGTGTTCGAAAAATATGATCATATAAAGTTTAAACCCCCTTAATTTGAGGGGGTTACAAATTTCATGTAGTCATAATTTTTGAATGCTGAAAGATAATACTATAAAACTTAAAATTTGTTGATAAATATAAGTCTAATTGAGAAAAGTACAAAAAAAAATTTATCAATTTGTTGCCCTTCACATTTGGTATGGGGGATGAAGTCAAAGGGTTTTGATATATTGTTACGACTTTTCCAAGACCATTCCTTAACCATGCATTTTGGGTACCTGATAAAAAAAATTTTTTAAATCCAAATACTTACAAGTCTAGTGGCTGCAGTTTATGGCTACAGTGAAGTGGGAAAAATGAATACAGTAAAGTGGAAAAAAAAAACGTAACTATTTCATTTTCCTTTGCTAAGTTTAGTGTATCAAAATGTATATGAGAAAAGTTGTTTTTCAAGATAAACAGAATTTTACTTTCTTTTGAAGACTTCGCATGCCTAATAAAATTTTGCATAAATGTTTTGAATTCAATATCTATGAACGAGCAACTTCCATTACCTACCCCAATAGAGTCGAGTGGACCATTGGCAATAAAATAACCTATGTAACACCAGTTTCACCAATATTCTATATTTGTGAAGCACTGAATTTGTATGCATCCAAAACCTCACCTAACTTATCATAAAACGCTTTTACATTTTTTGCGTTAAATGGTATTGTTCTCTTAAGGCTTATTGCTTCAGGTTTTCTAACAGATAGTTCAGACTTTTATCTCAAAAAATCGCTCATTCATTCTTTAGGTATTTTTATATTGTATTTAACAGCACACATAGGCAAAAAAACGTACATCTTTTGGAGTATATCCATAAAATATGGATACCATTTGTAGTAAATAATTTTTTTAGGAACTTCTTGGGAAATTATTAGCCTAAGTTTTGAATAAGCGATAGATGGGCTATCAATAAAGCTTAGTTTTGAGATTTATCGCGTTAATCTCATTTTCTTAATTTTAAATTATTTAAGAGCTGCACTTACTTTTTTTCATCAGATCTTGCTAATTCACTGAGCTGCTGACTTGGAAAAGCATCATTTGATGTTTTTCTCTTATAATTACGCATTCTGTAATACACGTTTGAACATATATATATGTATGTATGTATGAATGCATGTATGTATTTATGTTTGTATTTGTATGTGCGTTTGTATGTATTTATATACTCATATTATATGTGAAATTTAAAATTTTTCCTTTTATGTTAAACTAGTTACAAGAAATTTAATCTGCAGTGCAAAGAAATTTAATCTGTAATGCAAAGAAATTCAATCTGCAGCAATTTACTGGAAATTCAATCTGCAGCAATCAGATGCGTGTGTGTGTGTGTATGTGTGTGTGTGTGTGTGTGTGTGTGTGTGTGTGTGTGTGTGTGTGTGTGTGTGTGTGTGTGTGTGTGTGTGTAATTACAGCTTTGAGTACAAATAAATAAGTATTTCTGTAATATATATACACACACTCAATATAGCTATATATCAATAGAAGGTATATGACTTTGAAGTTTTGAAACTAATCAAATACTAAATTGTTATATATCATTGGAAAGAGATTGATTACAAATGTTTATAAGGTATTTTAAAGATGAAAAATTTATTAAAATCGAAAAACTTCACGAAAAGTTATAGCATTTTAAATGTCGAATTTTCAATATATGGATTTGTTGAAGAAACGATGACCAAATTTTGAGTTTTTTCTTAACTGTAAATGTCATAACTTTGTCAATTTTATCAAAGTTCTTTTAAAACTTGGTATCAAAAGAAAAGTCTTTAAAGATAGAATAAGGATACATAAAAAAAAATAATGTACTCATTTTTAAAAATTTGCCGACTGCCATAACGGCATTTGCCGGCTGACTGTCTTAATTTACCGACTAACTTGAAAAGGAGAATAAGGATACATAAAAGAAAAGTCTTAAAAAGGAGAATAAGGATACATAAAAGAATTATGCGAGCGTCTACAATACTCTTTAATATAAATTTTACAAAAAAGAGTTCCCTGCAGAACTAAAGTTAAACTATTCCAATTCTTAAAATAAATCAATACTGATACAAATTTCTAAAAAAGTAACACAGCATAACATGTTCATACCGTACCACTTTTAAAAAGACAAAATTTAAGCGTGGCACAAAATTTGGGTAAAGAAAACTCTTCTGTTAAGGTCGGATTTACGCGTACCCATCAATAGTAAATAAATTAATTTAAAAAATCCATCTATATGTAAATAAACTTTATAAAGCGTATATAAATAAATTATATTTAATGAAAATTGTACGGTATCATTGTAAAACTAAGCAAACATATATCACGTAAATCAAATTTTAACTTTTAATCTTTTTGATTTATATATTTTAATGACTACGTAATAATTAAGAAAAATTATTTTAAAATATAACAAATTTTTAAAAAATTTTAATTGTATTATTATTTTAAAAAAGAAATTGAATTTTGACAATTTTAAGATCTTTTAAAAATAATTAATTGAAAAGTATACCTGTATATTATAAACCTTAAAATGTTTACTTAACGAAGTTGTTTCTTCGCATCTTAAGGTGAGTTTCCACTCATCCGTTTTGCTACGGGAAAGGGAAAGGGAACGGAAAAATAATCACGTGAGCATGCGCAGTTTTCTTTCGGACAAATAAAAACTTTTATTACGCATGCTCACGTGATTATTTTTTCCTTTCCTATCCCGTTCCAGTTGAAAAACGGATGAGTGGAAACTCGCCTTTATAGTGCCGTTTGATTTGATTTTTTTAAACCTGCTTAATTTACTCCGACTAGACAAGATGGCATTTAAGTTCGGTTATAAAGAGAATGATATGGTTTAGGAAAAAATGGTTAACTATAATAGAGAGCCTAATAAATGGGATAAATATCAATACTTAAGTGATGCTACATAATTGTTTTTTAAAACTTCCAAGAGAAAAATAGCAAAAAAAATTTTTATACTTTTTTGGACCAAAATTAAAAAAGTGCATCTCGCTCGATCGCTATTTATTGCGCAATAGATATTTCTTCGATAGCGATCGAGTGAAATGGTAATACATTGTATTACCATTCTTAGTACCTCTTTAATCCATTTGATTTTTTTTTTCATGCAGTACGTAGTTTTTAGCCAAGAGATATTGAAGCTTGCATTTGTGAGCATTCCGTGGTGGCAATAAGCGCTTTTCTAGCTACTCTTTTTCATAATTTTTTTTGCGAACTTTCTTAGTTTTTGTGAAATTTCTCAGTTTTATTTTCTTAAACTTAAACTTTTTTCCTGCAGACTTTCATATAATGATGTCATAATATCATTTAAAAATTTGTTTTTAAATAAGTTTTATGGATTTTTTATACAATAGTTTGTATAATATTCTTGCGTGACTTCTTTATAGTACAGACCTTTTCTTAGGTAGTTTTGCATTTCTCGCTCAAAAATGTTAAGTATTATTCTGCTTTTTGCTAAAACAATAGTTTTCAGTCTTTTGTTGGTTGTTGAAGCTGACTATTGAAGCTGAAGCGATTGGTACTTTCGGGCTTTCTATTTATCATAGAGCACTGCGGAAGAGAACCAGAAAACTTCTCGCCTCCTTACTTTGTCGCTGGAAAATCCGCAATAAAACCTTTTTGTTTTGAGTCAGAACTCTATGCACTGCGCTAATGCTTAACTACTTCTTTAAAGTTCTAATTATAGCACCTTAAAAACATGCAACAACTTTTACAATTGATTTAGAGACCATTTATTATTACACCACCCCCTAGTTGCTATTTTGTCACTATTTTAAATTTTATTAAACAAATTTTATCATGTTAGAAGTAAATACTTTATAACTTCTAATTGTAAAATTCCAAACTTCTTTACAAAAAAAGGGTGCACACTTATAATCATTTTTCTTTATTAAGTTTCTATTAAGTTTTTATTAAATATTTCTCCAGACCATCTACAGCTTGTTAAGACCCCCTAAAAAATTGGAAAAAATATTAATCACAAGCGACAGGATTTGAACCCTCGCATTGTACTTCGGCAACGCAGCGAGCTAACTTTGACCACTAAGGCAACTAAACTGTCAATTTAAAAACTAAAATTTAACAAATAAAGCACTAGTCTGCCAATTTTTAACGCTATTTAATAGACAAAAGACGGAATAACTGGTATAACGGAATAACGGCAAATATATGCAATAAATAAAAATTAAGAATATTTTTCCGTAATGCAATTTTAAAGTAAAACTGTAAAACTTGATATGTTTTAATATTATATATTTGAAGTTTACATAAATTAGATATTTGCATACACTTTTGTTCTCATTTTATTGTGCAATAAGTGCTACGACTCTCGTCATTAATTCGGGTGTAATGGCTGCCGTGAGTTCTGTGCAAACACGCATGAATGAGTAACGGCAACAGCAACAGGAGTAGCATTAAATTCGATATTATAATATTATAGGATATATATATATATATATATATATATATATATATATATATATATATATATATATATATATATATATATATATATATATATATATATATATATATTAAGTGTGATCATAATAACCAATTTTATATAATAACATTAATAACATAATACTCATAACTTTATACAAGTGTGGCGATAATATGTGATTTCTCTAAAAAATTACATAACATTTAATAATTATATACACTACTTGATTACAAAAATATATAATATTAAATATCAGGAATCTAAAATACATTATTAAAATTGACATTAATTTTTTCAAAAAAATATACAAAACAATTGTTTAAAATATAGCATAATTAAAAATTATATTAAAAAATTGTAGACAAAATTGTCCTATAAAAATTAAATAGATAAAAATATATTATCTATATTTTTGATGACATATTCATTTTTGGTAGATTAATATACTGAGATTCAGCACCAGAAGTTTGCAACATTATAGCTCCATTTTTAACCTTATCACTATGAATATCTTCAAATAATTTAACAAAGTCTGCTACCACTCGTTCTACAGTCATAACCCCAAGTTTATTTTTTGCAACCATTTCAACTACTTTGTGATTACTGCGTACCATTTCAGTATCAGCAAATGTAGGACACATTACAGCAACTCTAACACCTTCATTTTCCTATTTAAAAAAATGATAACATTTTTGTATTATTTCACAATTTTTACAAAAAATAATTTATGACATTTTAAAATGTATTTTCAAAATAAAAAACTCTGAGACACGATTAAAAAAGATTTTTGTAAGCATATTATATTACCAATACATTAGAGCTAGCCAGAGATTTAGTAAGTGATACAACGGCAGATTTTGAAACAAAGTACGGAATACTTTCATAAACTTCAGCACTTGCTAAACCAGCAGCTGAGGCTATATTTATAATGGTACCGCCATCCCCACTTTTTTTGATGCTCATTTTTTCCATAGCTAAGTATGTCATTTCCATAAGAGAAACCTCAACAGTAAAAAAAAAAAAGTATGAAAACCTAAGCAGAGTTAAATTTTTGAGTAATCTCTGGTACTTAATTCAAATTTTATTTTACTTTAAGTGTCTGTATCTGTTTTATGTAAAAAAAAAATTATATGTCGGTTATATGCTCCTGGGTACATTGTGCCCAGGAGTAACAATAATAATCATCAAGTCTGAATCAGAAACTCAAATAACTTTTCAAATGTTACATTGAAATTCTGATGTTGATAAAGAAATTGTAGCTATTAAAATTTCAACAACAAAATCTTCAAGATCTTCGTTCACATAGCAAGATAATATTGTTAAACTATTATACTACAATTAATGGATTTAAAGTATAAAAATGAATGAAATGAATTATAATCTCATAAAATGGCGGTTACAAGCTATTTGATACCTCTACCCCAGCAGTAACCAACAGGTTGGTACCCGGGTGACCATCGGCAGTCTTATGCATTAGATAGGCAAGAGTAAAAATAATAATTAAAAATTATTTCAAAAAAAAAATTTTTTTGAAAGAATTTTTGTTATTATTTAAAAGAACTTTAATTATTACTACAAAACTACCAAAATTGACAACAAAAAGTTTTTCATTAAACGATTTCAAATTTAAAATTGACTTTATAATGCCACACTATTTTAGAATCTTTAGCAATAATTGTGAATTTTTAAATTAAATTAAAATAAGCTTTTATATATATATATATATATATATATATATATATATATATATATATATATATATATATATATATATATATATATATATATATATATATATGTTTGTTAAAAGAGAAAATTGTTTCTTATTATCTGCCAACTACTTCATTACATAAAACATAAGTTTCTTCATCAGAGACTAAAGTGTTGAAATAAAAAAGTTCTTTTTTTATTTCAAAAAAGGAAAAGTGTTTTGTTAAGGAAAATTCTTTTCACAAATGTATCTAAAAAATTTTATTTCTTATTAATTTGATATTGTGTAAAGTTGCACATAAACAATTTTTTTATTTAAATGTTGTATGACTTTTTGTGGGGCATATGATAGTGTATTGGTGATGAATATGCTGTATTGATTTTTCCTTGCAACTTTATAATTTAGGTTGTAATTAATAAAACTAATTTAAAAACAAATGGATAAATCATTTAACAAAATTATTATGATTTTAAACAACATTTTAAAATAGTGATATAAAATTTAGTTGAAATAATGTCACATCTACATTACATTTTCAAGAGATACACATTTCTTGAAAAGACCTAAAACATAATAAATTTTCTTGAAAAGACCTAAAACATAATAAATTTTCTTGAAAAGACCTAAAACATAATAAATTTTCTTGAAAAGACCTAAAACATAATAAATTTTCTTGAAAAGACCTAAAACATAATAAATTTTCTTGAAAAGACCTAAAACATAATAAATTTTCTTGAAAAGATCTAAAACATAATAAATTTTCTTGAAAAGACCTAAAACATAATAAATTTTCTTGAAAAGACCTAAAACATAATAAATTTTCTTGGAAAGACCTAAAACATAATAAATTTTCTTGAAAAGACCTAAAACATAATAAATTTTCTTGAAAAGACCTAAAACATAATAAATTTTCTTGAAAAGACCTAAAATAAATAAAATTTTAATTCTATTATTCAATTTCAAAAAGAACATTAATGAGTGAATTATTCATAAAAATTGCTGCACTTAAAAGAGGTCTTCTATAAAATATGCACGCAGTTATGGGAAAAGGGAGTTACTCAAAAAAGTATGAACATGTACAAGGGAGGGAAGGGGGAAGTTGTTTAAAACAATGAGTACATATGCAGTTTTACTATTTCTTTTTCTCTATCTCTTCTAAATCGTGATTTCCTTCTTTTAAACAAAAGAATTGGTATTTAAAAAATTTATATTATGTTATGTAAAAAAGAAACGTCAAATTACTAAAACTTTGTTGCTGTTTTTTTGTTTTTAATTTGTAAAGGTTTGATTTTGCAATAAAAAAGGCATACATATGCAGAAAGGGTGTTGTTGTTGTTGCATACGAGGGGGTGGGGGATCCTAAAACTGTAATTTTACAGCATATGTACTTATGAATGGCCCCAAAGAGAAATTCATCTATCGATGTACCAAAAACTCCATTTACACAAATAAATACAAGAAATAAATACATTTTTCTTCATCAAGATATGTTTAAGGACATGTCACTATAACCTTCTATTTGACTTTGGTACTAATGATTAACTATTTATGGCAGATAATTGATTAAATTATGATTATAGCTAATGTCTGCCACACAGTATTTTTCTTCTTCTAGGTAAGTTGCTTTAACCACAGCTAAAGAGTCTTACACTAAGATTACTCTTGAGTCCTTAATAAAAAGGATGGGGTACATTTATTAATTTTTGAAAAATTTTCTCACTCACCCCAAAGTTTATTAAGATACACCTCCCCTCCCCCCCATTTATTAATTTTTAATTATTGTCAGCAAAAACTTCATATCTCATTTATAAACTGAACTTTTTTTTACAAAAAATTCCCACTTCCCTTTTATTAATTATCCCCACGTGTATTTAAGGACTCAAGAGTACATATAACAACATTTCAATTCTTGGAATGATAAAACATATGATTGCCTTCAATTACTAAATTATTATTTTGCTCACACATAGAATATTGCACATCTGTTTGATTAACATTTTATTTTAAATGATAAAAAAAAAGGAAAATGTAACTATAGTTATATAAAATGATAACAGAAACAAAACAACTCTCATATACAGACAAAATATTCAAACTAGGTCTATAAACACTTGAGAAAAGAAAGAACAAAATTGATTTAATAAAAGTGTACAAGAAGTTACATAGATTGTCTAAAATATAATATAAAATTTTTCCAAAATTGTTTCAAAACAAGACTCAATAAATTGGATAAAGAAAGTAGACTCTTTTATAGATGAATTTCTTATCTCCTAATAGCCTGATACGCTAGTCAAACAGAGTTATTATTTGGGATAATGTTACAATTACCAACTCCATAGTTAACTGTATGAAATCATTCAACCATCTCTTTTATTTATTTTTATTCAATGAAAACAGTGTTTTAAATAAACTCTCAAATTTGATGTTATTGTTTCTTTCTATAATTAACCATTTAATTTATGCAGATTTATGCTTTGCTAAAGGTTTCCAGAAGCTATTTGATTTTAATACTATATTTTCTCTTTAGTGTGATATAATTTTCAGTAGCTATATCACAAGTAGCTAAATTTATATGATTCTTAAGTTCAAAATCCATATTTTATGTTGTCTAACATAAACTATATCATCTTACTTATTTTCACAGTACAAATACTTGAGACAGACAGGCCCAAGATTTGATTGCATCTTATTTTATTTATGATACATAAGTATATAAGATGCAATCAAATCTCATTTATTTTGGACCTTAAGCCTGGTATTAAATCTTGAACTAATGAATATACTTATAATAGATATAATAAAAAACTTACAAAATTAATATTAACAGTTTTTTTCCAATTGCCTGAATGAAAAATACCAGCATTGTTAACTAATACTTTTACTGGTCCACTGAATTTTTTTTCTCCATCTTCCCAAATTTTTCTCATAGATAATTCATTTGTAACATCTCCCTCATAAAATACAGATTGTCCTGGATAAACTTCATTCAACTCTTTTTCAGTTGTAATGCCAAAGTCTCTTAGAACATCTACAAGTATGACTTTACCACCCCGTTGGACAACAGCTTGAGCGAAACCTTTCCCAAGGCCTCTTGCACCACCAGTAATAAGAAATATTTTATTAAAGATACTCATTTTTATTAAATTAACCTACAAACATTTTATTTAATAATAGTTACACATACACACACACACACAGATATATATATATATATATATATATATATATATATATATATATATATATATATATATATATATATATATATATATATATATATATATATATATATATATATATATATATATACATATATATAATATTAACAAAATAAACATTTTTAAGTAAAGAAATTTAAATATCAAAATCAATAATTAATAAAAAATGGGATTTAAAACTTTGATTTAAAATTTCGAAATATTTTGTTAACAATATGTTGAGAATGTTATTAAACTTGTTACCAAGTTATTGAATAAATATTTTTAAAATGTCAACAAAAAAAATTATAACTTGAATAATTTATCTAGACTTTCAAAGGATTAATAAAAATTGCCATTCTTTTGTCACCAAGTAACGATTCAATTTTGTAAACACATATCCCGGCGTTTTATTTCTTATAAGTTTAATTCTTTTATGATTCCGAGACAATCCGATTGGGTACCTATAAAAACTTATGTATAATTTATAAAGTACCCAATCGGATTATCGTAAATATATCGGATAATCGTAATAGATCGTATTTGTGCGATATATTTACATAATCATGTACTTTATACAAAGTTTTTATTTATTTATTATAATATTGTTTTTTGTGTATTGTTAGAATTTTATGTAAAACTGGTCTGCAATTGAAAATTGTAGCTTTATATTTTGTATTTATTAAATTACTTTTCGTTTTACCTGACTCAAATGATTGATAATCTCATTTCAAATATTTTTTTCAAGATCTGATTTTCTTATACATCTAATTTAAGCCAATAATAAATTTATTTTTTCTCCCTTATTTTCAATTTATTTCAATCATGATAACTACTTAAAATGATCTGGTATATTTTTTCCAGAGACAACTGCTAAGGCAGATTTGTCTGTTATATACTTTGCTGGGAAAAACAATATCTCATCTACAGACGTAGAATACATCAACCAGTCTTTTTACTACACACTACTACAATATTGTACGCGGCATGGTTTGCATTATAGCAATTCAAAAAAATAGCAATTGCCTTCCACCTTTATCTATAGGATAACCATGGTTATCCTATAATAAAGGTGGGGTGAATTACTATTATACAAACCATGCCCTCTGCAGTCAGCAGGCTCTAAATTGATCTCTAAATTGAAGTTCAAACGCTGTTTCTCGCATTGAAAAATCGAGTAAGATGTCACTAAGTTTAGTAACAAATTATATATATATATTATTGTTTTTATTATTATTATTATTATCATTATTACTATTATTATTGTTATTATTATTATTATTATTATTATTATTATATTTTATTATACATATATAACACTTATCAAATATTGTTTATACTATCTAATTTTTAAGGACTTATTTACAAAAAGTTAGTTTTTATGCATATACATATTTAATTTTACCGTTTCAAATATATTTTCACAAGACTTAAATTTCAACCTTTTGTGCATATGAAAACCACAAATTTATCTTTGTTACCAAGTTATGTTATTAAACATGTCTTTGAACCTCGCATGTTAAGCAACTAATTAAAAAAATTTTTTTAAGTTAACTTAAAATGCTTTTCATCTCAAGGTAAAAACTGAGTTTTATGAAAACAACTGCTTGGCGAGACAAATTATGCTGTATAAGCTCAAAATAAGTCATGCAGATTTATTTTATCGTCGGTAATCAGATAAATTATTAAATCCTCTTTTATCTTTTTGTCAGTAAACTTAATTTTATTTGTTTGTGTTGTATTATTATTGCTTGAGAAGATGAACTAAACTTTCCTATTGTTGAAGGATTAATTAAAACTGATAAGAGTTCTAACAATGAGGTTTCAATGATACAGAAAGTCAAAGAATTAAGAAAGCATTATTTTATGTGCTTTATTTTGCTAAATGATTTTAATTTGCCATAATTTAAATTGCCTTAATTTAATTGATGATGTAATCATCAATAGAGGCAATAGAGGTAATTGAAGTTTCAAAACACACTTCAACTAAAATATGTTTTAAAGTGCCAAATAAAAGAAAAAAAAAAGTTAAATAAAACTGCCGATGCAAAAAAAACTGCTAATGTAACAAAACAAAAATAGCAGATGCAGATAACTTTTTCACTTAAATTAAAAACCAGAAGCTACTGAATCAAGTTAACCGAATAACTCCGACAACATTAAAAGAATTCAGTCGTCACATTTTAAGGAATTAAAACCAATGGTATGGTTTTCAAACTCAGCACTCAACAGAGCATGCTATCGTAGACCTCACTAACATGATTAATGAACCAATCTGTAAAAAGAAACTCGTATTAGGATTCTTTTTAGACTTGTCAAAAGCGTTCGAAACATTAGATCATGAAGTCCTTCTTGAAAAAATGTAAAAATATGATCTAAAAAACCAAACACTGCAATGGTTCAAAAATTATCTGTATAACAGGCATTGGTGTGTTATTAAAGATGATAATTACCGCACTAATTTATTAAAATAACCATGCGGTGTCCCTAAAGGTTCAATTCTTGGTCCTCTTTTGTTCCTAATTTATATAAACGATCTTCCGAAAGTTTTTAGCAAATTTGACTGCAGACGATACAAATTTTATCGACAAACATTATCTGTTTACATTATCATACATCTGTATGATAATGTAAGCATAGAACTCCAAAAATTAAATATATGGTTTAAAACAAATAAGTTATCCCTAAACATAGAAAACACAAAATATTTTTTATTTCCTTCAAATCAGCAAAGAAACACACTACTAATGTTTTATCTTCTCTAAAAATAGAAAATAGGTCTATAAAGCTTTATAAAGCAAGACCTATATTGTCACAAAGTAATTTAAAGTTTGTATATTTCTTTTTTATAAATAGCTACCTCATATAAACGAATATAGCTTGGGCGAGTACGCATATAACTAAAATGAAAGTTTTACATCGGCGTCAGAAACATGCTATAAAACTAATCTACCGTAAAGACAAATTTACACATACTGAACCCCTAAGATAATTAGTTTTTTTGCCAAGAAACTAATTGTCTCTTTATGTCAGATACTTCTTTACGGAGAATTCTATGTGGAATAAAATCTTCTAAAAAAAAAATGCTTGAATGGTCTTGATGATGTCATGGATGGGTTTCAAACTTTGAATGCTGTTTCTGAAAATTGGAAGTATAAAAATATTACTAAGTTCTTAGAAAAGGGTAAAAATTATTTGAAGAGTAATTATCCTTCAAATGTAGTGAAAATTCCTCTTTGCATAGCCACTTTACTTCTTTTGACCTTTCAGATATAAATCCAGACTTAAATCAACCTTAAGCCATAGCTGCTGACGATGACCAATGCATTGACTGTGCTGACCTCATTTTAGCAATCAACCAGGTTAATTACTGAAATGAGGTTAGCACAGTCCAGGTAAAGGTCAATTAAGAAAAAAAGTCTTTTTTACTGCTGTCTATAGATGGCAGCAAAACCATGTTGATGTACTCTCTCTTGGTGATATTGTTTTGGCTAAAGTTAGAAATGATTTTCTTTGTTTAAAAAACCCTTATGCTAAGTCAGATAACGCATCATGTTTGTAAAGTTTGCAAAGCAAAGCAATTCTTTCTTAAAAAATATGATTATAATAAGCCACGTGGTCAATGTGACCGAGTCAGCATGAGCGAAATGTATCATAAGGAGGTTTTTCAATGCTGAAAACAATTTGTTGACTGCAAAAGTTATTTATGAGGCTCATCATAATGACAAAGGAATTCAAAATGCTGATGTCGCTGAAGTTCCAATAGACTCCAAAGCTTTTACTTTATCAGGATCAAATTTAATTCCCAACATAAACAGTTATTTTTTTTGTGATTTTACAGTTAATTTTTGTGTGAGTGATGAATAAAAAAGCCTAAAAAATAAATACATTACAAAAATATATTCCTAAACTTGTATGTATGGAAAACATTTTTGATATCCGGAAACACTAAAAGTTGAGAAAAATATCCAGAATTCCGGAAATCTCCGGAAAAAGATGATCCCTGTAGGTCATATCCCACCACGAATAAATAAATATAATATTTCCGATTTTTTTTTTTAAATACTCACACACACACACAAACACACACACATTATTATAGAAAATTATCTAAATATTGTAAAACTTTATTTAATAAAAAAAAAAAATACTTAGCACCTTGAGGTTATGCTTCTCTGGTATAAGTCAAACAGATATTTAACAAAACAAAAATATTAAATTAATACTTATAAATATAAAAATTACAAAAATTCATAAACAATTCAACCGCAAATTATCTATTATCTAATACAATACAAATTACCTATTTTACGTGAACAAATTGTGACATCTTAATACAAATATAAACACCGGGTGTCCTGTACAAAAATATTATTACTAAAGCTAAACGATTTTTAAGTTGCTTGCTGCTTCTTCGACCATTTTTCTAAGTCAAAGGCTATTAGGACAAATTATTCATCTGAATCAATACTAGTGGAGCGAGGTTTTTTAGGAGCTTCAATTGCACCACCAACCAAACCATGCGCGGTATTAAACAAATTTATGGGCGAAGAGCCATCAGTAATAAGTGTAGATTGAAGGCCGAGAGATTTAAGCAGTTTAACTTGCATTTCAGGTCCAGCCGTGGCGATTGAACGAATAGTTTCTGCTCCTATTGCATCAACCATCTGCTTGAACTTACCTGCCTCTATAGTAGCCAATTCGCGTGTTTTAGAAATCTCCAATTCATTTTGCATTGATATATACTTCGTTTCAGCTTCGCGAGCAGCAGTTAGACGCCTCAATTCTGATTCCTAGAAAATTTATTTTTATATAAATTGTTATAGCTTATTTAATTTGTTAATCCTATAAAAATTTTATTTCAAATAGTTTAAAATTATATTTCAAACAATTTGAAATAATTACAATATAAATGATAATTAAAAAATAACAATTTAAAATAATTTGAAGCAAGTATGTAATTATTTATTTTATTATTTTATGAGTTAATAAAACTTTAATTGCATTTATACCGCTTCAATAAGGTTGGCTTCAGATTTCAACTTCGCTTGCTCTACTGAAGTTTCTCCTTCAATTCGCGCAGACTCAGCACGAGATTGAGCTTCAGCCTTAGCTTGACCAGTTGATTCGACTGCAGCGCTTTGTGCTTGTAATTCGAGTAACTCACAACGGGCCTTTTCTGATTCTGCTTCATCTTGTATCTTTTGTCGTTCTAGTCTGCCTCTGGCTTCTTGTTCCAAGCGATCTGCTTCATGTCTATGTTGAAAATAAAATAAAACAATGCAACAATGAAACAAATAAAGGAAACAAAGATATATGCAAATTAAAAAGTAGTTTTAAATAATGAGAAAACTTTAAAAATCGGAAGAAATTTATTTATCATATTAATGAACTGATTTCACTGGATGCTAAAAAATACTCTAAAAAGGCTGTTAATAAATATGCTTCATTAGATAACATGAGGGAGATTTATGATTTTTCGACAGTTTATTATATTTAAAAATTGTAGCAAAAAATATTTATCTTTAAAGTAATTACAAAATTTATACTTAGCAGATGCTTCTTGTGATGCTGTTGTTATTTCAATAGCTAATTGAACTGATTTTTGAAGAGCATCCCTTGTTCGCTGATCGACAGGCTCAACAGATTGAATATCAACACTTGTAATGTTTAAGTTATTTGATGGGAAAGTGAACCGGTCACGGACTTTGTTTTTCTCATCAAGACCAAATACAGAAGAACGAATAATTTTTGCAGAATTTTTGTGAAAATCATCAAACTTTACACTTGCAACAGCACCACGTATACGAGAAGCAATTGCTTTGCAAGCATCACCAATAAAATCAGGAACTGAAAAAAGTAATTCGCCACCAGACTTATCAACAACAAAATTCCTAATGAAAATAAAATTAAAAATTATAGCAACAAAAAAAAATTAAAGTGAAAATAAAAATTACTCAATAAAATAATAATAATCAAAATAATGATAGATAGTAATAACACTTCACCAAATTGTGTTAGATGTTTGAGCCTCTGGCATAATGCTAGCTCACTTATAGCTATGCAGAAATTGAGTCTTATGGAACCAAATTTTGCGCTTAATTTTTTTCTATAATTCATCTCTTGAATTTAATGACCAAACTTTATCTATCATCTAAATCAATATCACTTCTGTTTGATAAAGTTAATTTTTCTCTTAAACCTTTCTACATCTTGTGGTCTTTTGTAAAGCTATGACAGGAATGTAAAACATTCATGTCATAGCAATAAAATGAATAAACAACATTCCTTACTCAAGAAAAGTGTTATGACTAAAATTTATTGTACAAATGAAAAAATTCAATATAAAGATGTATGACTAAAATTGTTATTAATAACTGTTTTCAATACTCTCTTAACTATTTCACAAGTGCTGAATCTTAAACTTAATCTTGTTTTGCTGTCTGCTGATAAATGCTGTCTGCTGATAAATGCCATCTGCATTTATCAGCAGATAAATAAATCAAGGAGTATTGCATTTGGGATTTCAAAGGCTTTCAATAACAGCTGGCTTTTTCAAAAATTTTGAATCATTCCCTTCTAACCATAGTATTAAAGGTGTCCTCGAAAGACACCTTTTAATTCTAGTAGCTTCTGGGGCACCTCAAGGTTCCATCCTTGATTCTGTATTGTTTCTTATCTATATTCTGTATTGTTTCTCATCTATATTCTAGGATTAACTCTTACTTGGAAACCATATATCAAATCCATTTCAAAATTAGCATCTGCTAAGGTTGCATCTCTTTATTGAGCTTGACATTTTCTTACTCCGGATTCTATTATCAATCTCTGTAAATTTCAAATCTGGCTTTGTATGGAATACTGTTGCCATATCTGGGGCGGATCTTCCTTTCTCTTTTTGACAAGGTGAAAAAATACAAAAAATTGCTTCCTTAATCTTGATTTCCTGATTCATATAATTTGCAATCTTTTTTAAGATGTAATATTATCAAGGAGATCATATATATATATATATATATATATATATATATATATATATATATATATATATGATCTCCCTGATAATATTACATTTTAAGTAGCTATATTAACTGACAGCACAATTATACGGTCCAGTCTTGACCAAACACTATTAGATGTTCTAACTGTCAGTTATTTACAGAACAGATAGCTTATCTTGAGTGTTTCTCTTCTACTTAATTATTCACCAGCCATTTCAAGCTTGGAATGGAATTTACTCAACTCAGTTGTCTATTGTTAATAATTATTACAATACTGTCGTAGTTAAATATTGTTATATATTGTTAAATATTATACTAATGCCTTTATTAACATATGGCACACTCTTGCTTGGTTCTTTACATTACTTTTTCCTAAATTTTCTTTGACAACTAACCTTTCATGAAAACCATATACACAATCAATTGCGAAATTTCTTTCAACTTTGAATATAAATTAGCATCTTAGTATATGCTTTTCTTTATCATGGTTGTTAATAATTTTGTTCGACAATGTTAACTTGATTTTAGTTAAATCTTTTGAAAAACTGGTTTAACCCACTATAGATCCTGGTTGTAATCTGATCTGATACAAATTAATTAAATATAGTTATCCAAATACAATATTTCTGTTAATTTTCGCCAAAAATTTAAAATTTTTGACCAAGAAAGAGTTTTTAATTAAGAAAAACTGCCAAAAAATGTTCATAACAAATTATTGTTATTTACTTTACTCTAGATTCCATCTTCTACATCTACAAACTGCAGCCTTGAGAGTAAGTTAGTTAACAAAAAAATAATGTGCAAATATAGTATATATTGAACATAAAAAATGAATGTTAAAACAAAAATAAATCTAACAAATTTATAAAGTGAGTTTACCAGTTATAAGATAGTTGTAGTGAAAGTCGAGCATGGTCAGCAGTTTCAACAACCACAATGTCTGTTGTGAAATCAGGTCCCAACAGCAGGCAAAGTGCTTTAATAACATTGGGTCGCTTCGGTTTACCACCAGATATACTTAGTACTGTAAACTGTTCATCAGGCCCAAGCATAACAAGATCTGGACCAAATATGACTCTAAAATAAATTTTTTGGAGGTATTGACTTAAGTAAAAGCATTTAATATAATTATTTATTAAAAACTCAAAAAGTAAATTAGAGTGTATTAGTAAATTAAGATGAGGAAATAATAAAACTAAAACATGAAAGTAAAAGAAATGAAAACTCTAAATAGTTTATTAACAAGTATTTTTATGAATACCAGAACTTATATTTAGTTAATAGTTAACTAAAAATTTCTACCTTGCTTTTTTAAAAATATCTACCTTGCTTTTTTAAAAATTTCTACCTTGCTTTTTTAAAAATTTCTACCTTGCTTTTTTAAAAATTTCTACCTTGCTTTTTTTTCCTTATAGTCATAGATTTGAACAGCAGCATTGTGTGGAACTCTGTAAACTACAACTTTAGTTTTATCTCGAGCTTTTGGTTTTTCAGTTGTTGCTTTTCGGTCACTTCTATCTGCTAATGGATCCTTTCCAGAACTAAGCAAATCCTCAACTACAGGTGGAAGCTCTTTTTGCCATAGTTCTTCATCTTGGTTAAGCATATATGTACAACCAATAACAGCACGCACCTTACCTAAATAAAAATAATAAAAAGATTTTAGTATAAATATTCAAAACATAATAAACATTATAAGTTTACACATCTTATAAATAAATTATATACCTGTCTTTATATCTCTAACATACACTCCTTCATTAGCATCAAGGGGAATGGCTTTGCGAAAATTACAAACTTCAACCTCAACTGGAGGAACATATTCACGTGGCCCTCGTATCATCCATCTATCACCAGGGGCTCGTTTATTTCCATCATCAACAAATTGTTCTGTAGCTTTCAAGATTAAACCTTCATCTTCACCAAGAACAAAGACATTTTGTATACCCTTTTCAAGACTTTCTCCTGGTTGAAGGAAAAATGATTTTTCTCCCTTAAAAAAAAAGTAATCAATTTTAGCTTAAACTAAATAGCATCTCCATTTATTAAATTGGCAAAGCTGATTTTCCTATGATAAATGTTTGTAGTGTATAGATACTGTATGCCCACAATCACCCTCAGTCAATGTACACACTGAAACACCCACAGACTATTATTTAAGTATGATGCTAATAGTTTCATGCACAGCTAAATTCACATTTTTTTATGTGCCTAAAACCAAAATGTTAAACAAGTGAAGTTAAAAACCAACATCAAATAAGATGAAATAAACAGTTTTAATTTTTTAAAAACTTTTAAAAAGTGGATGTTAGTGTATTGCATTTTTTACATATATTATATCTGTTTATTTAATTACTTTATTACTAATAAAAAATAACCAATATAACTTAAAAACATAATAACTGTTGTCGAGAAACAAATAATAAGACCTTTTCATGAAACTATGAAGTTATATTAAATTATGTAAATAAAAATACCTTAACAAGTTTCTTTTGACCAAGCTGTGGTTTACCATCAGCATCAACTGGATCACATATCACACAATACTGTCTGTTATTTAATGTGGTAATATTAACTATGTTGACAACCTGCATTAAAATACAAGAAACTATACTATTTAAAATAACTATTTTTAAATAACAAATTTATTGATGATCAATAACTATTTTTAAAGATAAAAAATAAAACTTTTTTGAAAAATCTGAATAATTTGAAAATTTTAGGTTTTTTAAGTTAACAAATATTAAACATTAAGTTAAAAATATTATTTTTTAGTTGAAAAATAAATCAAAAAATCATCATCCTACAGAGCAATGAAGAACTATAGGTAAACATAGGTAAAAAATACATGTAGTTTTTGCAAATGTATTTACGGTACTACTATTTCTGCAAATAAAATTACATTTGTATTTTTTACCTAGGTTTACCTACGATAATGATTTTTTGATTAATTTACACAACCTGTATCACATGTCATTAAAAAAATAGTAAAAAGAATTTTTTAACTCCAAATTGATCTAAAAGACACAAATTCAGGCCGGAATTCAGGCACATCCCTATTGATAACTATTTTTAAAGACAAAAAACAAAACTTTTTTAAAAAGTTTTTTAAGTTAAAAAAAATTTTCCACAAAAGAAGATAATTAAGATAGATTCAAAATATATAAATATAACCTAATAATTAGAAAGTGTATTGAAAACAAATATAAACTAAGATTTATGTTTAAATATCATAAGATTACTTGTTCATAAACATTCGGAATATGGCTTTCTGTGTCCTTAAAAGTAATCAGCCATTCTTCACCATTTTTTCTTAATTTTTTCTTTTCATCTGTGAATGTTCGTGTAGCTCTCATATGCAATGCATTCTACAAATAAAATTATATATATTGTCATAACACTTACGCAGACTTTTGACACTAAAAATATTTTTAATAAAAATATACCAATAATTTAAATCATACAATAAAAATTTTTTTTTAAATGTAAATTAAAAAAACTTTCACACCTTTTTTTTTCTCCTTATTTTATAAAAACATAAACTACATGTAAAATATTTCAAATACTAGTATTTAAAATACATATTTTGATACTTTTAAAGTATTTTAATTTTGTATTTTATACTTTTTTCACTCAAGTTGTTATTATTTGTATTCTAAATACAATTTTTTATATTTTTTGTATTTTCAATGTCTTTCTAAATACAAAATATTAAACTTTTATTTTAATTATTTTAATTAAATTGTATTCAGTTTTTTGAAAGTATATTTTATCAAAAATTAAAAAAGGAAGAAATGTTACAAAAAGAGGTCTGAAAGATGCTAGTTTGCACAAAGCAATCTTAAATTAAGTTAAATAAGCCATTAAGATAATTTGATGTATTTTTAAACCCTTGTCGCTTAGCACTGGATTGTTGCTATATTTATATTACTTTTGAGTTGAAGTCAACAAAGCATTGCTAGGGAAAGCAGAATTCTAATGAAATAAAAAACAACATTGGCTAGCTGGATAATACAATTTATGATTCTGAAACATGTTATATCTAGAATAAAAGAAATGCTCAATGTAACCAATCTACAGGTATTAGGTAATTAGAGATATGATTTGCAGTCAACTTGATTTTTTATTTTCTTAAATCAGCAGTAACAATTTTTTTTTTAATTAGTAGACCTGGCTACCACATAAAAAAAGAAGTTTACCACTTAAAAAAAATACTGATAACAGTCTAATTTATTCTTAGATAAACATGCAACAAATTTTTCCTTAAAACCTTTTGAGATTTGCTTTAATAACATATGTTTTGTATATTCTCTAGATCACTTTCTACAAGAGCAAAAACAAAACAAAAACAAAACAAACAAAAAAAATTAAAAAAAACTTGATGACTACAGAGAAACCAAACTATACCAAAATAAAGAGAAAATAAAAGCTTCCAATAAACAAAAGCAATCATTTAATGCTGAAGCTATAGGTGACTTATGTTAATTATGTTAAATTGTATTAAGAAATATGGTGAGTGTTGGTGCAAATTAATAATTTTTCAAACCACTGCACAGAAGTTTGAAAAATTTGATTTTTTGGCTGAAATTAGAACTTTGATGTTTATATACTAAATTGATCATGCTGAATCCAAAACTGAAAACCATTTTTAATTTGGTATTGTGGTTTATCCTCCTCCGGCTAATTGCCATATAGAAGCCACATTACCATAGCCCACAAAGTCAAGTTTGGCTTGCCAAGGAGCATCGGACCAAAGGTAAGGTGATTTGGGAAGAACGAAGATATGATAGAGTGATAGGCAGAAGTAGTTGAGTAAGAAAGATAGCATAGAGAAAGCACACAGAAATGCAAAACATACTGTTAGCTAGGTTAACCTAACTAAAGTACGCCAACAAAGTTTTGATTGGAGCTCACTTAACATGAACTCTTCCTCAACTTTCTTTGTCGTCGAAAACCATTTTTAATTTAAAGATTTTGTTGTTCATATTTCGCATGAGTATGCCCAGTCAAGAGTTTCTGAAAAAGTTTACATTATTTTGCTTGTGATTCCATATTATTTCAAATTTATATTGTCGGACATTTGGAAAAAATAACAAGTCAAAACTAAATATTTTAGCTAGAAATTGTAGGTGATACAGACCTTGTGATAAAGCGTCAGTCATAGAGCATTTCACATATGCAAAGAGCAACTTTACTTCACATAATTAACACTGAGACTTTAAATTAAGAAAAGTACAAAGATATATGTAAGACTATTAAGTTGCCTCATGCAAAGGATAAAATACCTCAAGGATGGATATCCGAACATGCATGTTTGGGATAACAATCCCAAGCATGCAGCCAAATTGGTTTTAGAGTTTTTCAAAAAGAATAAAGTTAATTTTTTGAAGTGGCCATCCCAATCATGTGACTTAAATCCAATTTAACATCTATGGGAATATTTTGACCGTCAAATACAAGGAATCAAGTCTACAAATCATGCTGATTTATTTAATAAAATCTAAGAAATATGGGACTCAATTTCCATTGACGTTTGCATTTATTTAGTTGACTTTATGCCTCATAGATGCCTAGCCAATCATAATTGTAAAAAATATCCTACAAAATACTAATGGGATTTTGCTTTATTATAAATTTGTGATCAAATATTGCTGAAAAATTTGTGTAATTATCGAAAATCGTTGATTTGTATACGAATTTTAAAATGTTAATTAAATAATAATTATTTGTTTAAAACATAATTGTAAACTTGAAAACCTTTTGATTGGTATATAATATGTTGGCTTTAGTAAAGTATGAGCTGATATATTGATAAAATTCCTTATTTTTTGCCCGTCTGCAAACTTTTCGACGCAATTGTATATATTTTTGAATAGCCTGGACATTCTAGAAATTAAAAATTTGAATAACAAAAAAATTATCAAACTTTTATTTTGTTATTTCAGCCAAAAAAATTTCAGACCAATCTGCACTTATTAAAATATTGAAAGAGCCAGAGCAAATGAGTATTCAAAAAACAAAAGTATCACCTGGTGGAAAAATCAGCTAGTGACATTTGTAACAATAAAAATAGCAATATTAAGGATGATTGGTATTTACAAAAAAACAATTAGCTGCTTTCAGAAAGAGAATTATTTTAAATTTCATATAAAAGTTGAAAGTATGTATATCAACATACAGACATAAATATATAAATTTGTATTTAAATGTAGATTAAATTAATTTAATTCCACTTAAGTGTAGTTAGGTTTAGTTTCCCAAACATTTTAGTTCTGATTTGAGCTTAATTCCCTTTGCTTCACAAATGTATGAGAGTAGCAAAAACATGTTTCTATACTAATTCTTGTTTTCAATTTACAAGATTATTTCTTTTCAATAAAACCTTGTTTGACAGGCATTGACAATTTAGAAACAAATTTCAGCAACAAAATTGCAAACAACAGTCATTTTCATTGTAAAAGTTTCTTATGAGTTATATTCAAAACTATTTCTAAATTAGTACGATTATATTTACTACTACTGTTACTATATAACTACTTCTGTTATATTCTTGTTACTACTTCTACCACTGTTTTAAAATTTTTGCAAGCAGTATATTTTAAAATTATAAACAAATTAAAAAAAAATACTTTTTCAGTTAACACATAAGCATCTACAATTTCAACCACTTCTTCATACGAGCCAGGCAAGTAAGCACCTGTTTTCTTGACTATCCATTCTTCTCCTGTTACACGCTCTATTCCTTCTCTATCCTAGAAAATTTTTTTTTAATTTATTAAATATCTAAACAATAATAGCATGTAATTAAAATTATTTAAAAAATTATTGTTATAATAATTTTAAATTCTCTCTGAATTAGGGTCGGCATTTAGCAATGCCAACCTTTGAGGTCGACAAAAAACTGTTGACCTCATTTCTATGTTATATATATATATATATATATATATATATATATATATATATATATATATATATATATATATATATATATATATATATATATATATACATTATTAGTGCGACTAACACCTTTTTTCAAATTTGTTTCCTTAAGGCCTCAGCTATGGTGAAGGCTCTAGAAATTTTTTTTCTCAACACCAAAACTTATAAATAAAAAGCTATAATGTTGCACATATTAAGGAATACTATTACATAATAAACAAGAGTAGAGATTAAAAAATATATGTAACCTTGGTTTCTTTACGAGCTCGCAATTTAATTGCCTGATTTGGTTTAATAATTGCTGCTCGAATTGTTTCAATCACTTCAACTTCTTTACGAGGTATATATGTACCAGGACCTTCAAATAGCCACTCATCACCTGCAACATAATTTTTGTCAATAGCATCAGAGAAGTCCAATATTGCTCTTAAATGTAATGCTGAGTTTGCTTCAACAACTGTCAATGGAGTTCGAGGCTGCTTAAGAACTTCTCCAGGGTAAAGTGGAAATGGATCTTGTGCAAGACGTATTTCCTAAAACATTAAGCAGATTTTATTGAAAAATCAATTTTGTAAGAAAAATTTCTAAAATTTAAATAAATTTTATGTACAAAAATTAAAATACTAAAATATAAAAATATATTTAAATTTTTTTCCATGAAAAAACATAATTTCAAAAAGTACATTTTAATATAGGATTAAAAATTTCGGAATACCAAGCTTCAGCAGGAATGATGGACTAAGCCAAAGTTAGCCTAAACACCCATGTAAGTCAGTTTACCCAGGCAAAATGAAGGCCATGCAAAGTAATATTTTTTTGTAAAATTTTCTAATGTTTTTATTTAGCTACTCACATGATGTAATTTTAAAATGGATGGCGAACATGAAGTTTAAAACTGTTTTTTATTTAAATTTAAAAAATGTAATTTAGTATGTGCTACCAATAAAATTTACTTGATTATTATGTAAGATTATGTAAAAATAAAATCAAACTGTTTTTTCAAATAAAATAATTAAAAAATTAAATAACTGCCAAAAAGCAAAATTAAAAATTTTTCTTTTGGGCAATATATATTTTACAAAATATTAGGAAAAATGTAATTTTTGATTTGTAGGACTTTTTATATAAAAAACTTAAATTGGGGTTTATATCGACATTCATTTTTTGTCATTTTGTCCATTTTAAAAACTGATTTTTTTTTTGTATATTTTTTGATTCCTTTATTTGTCAGCTTTATGTCAATTGCTTTACTTCTAATGTCAATACTCTAAACGTCTAAACTAACTGACTTTATTTTAGGCGAGTCTGTCAAAACTCTAACAAAAGTTAATGTCAGTCAAATTTGATTTTTCAAAAATAATTAAGTTAAATAATTGTAAAATGTCATCAAATATCCATTAACAATATTGTTGTAACTAATTA